TCCAACAGATCCCAGGAACAACATCTGAGATCTCTGTCCAGAAGAGTGCAGTCCTAGGAACAGCTAAGATACTGCGCAGGACCCTCAAGCTCCCAGGCCTCTGGTAGAGGACCCGAGCTTGAAGGAAGGAATACAAGACCGCCCCAAAGTGGGGGGCGAGTGGGGAATTTTATTTTTTATTTTTATTTTTTATAAAAAGTCACAGACCTAGAGGCTCATATAGCTTTGGGTGCTGTGGTGCCTTCGGACTCTTATTTGTTTGTTTGTTTTTACTTCAATGATCTCAATACTCCTTGAATGTGGAAAATAAAAGCCCTGTTCAACAACATAATTTCTGCTCCACCATTTTTTAGTTGCTGTAACTGTGCTGCACTATATTAGCACATAATCAGGCACACTGTACAGCACTGCAGGGAAGCATCTGGAAATTACCCAATTAATCACAATAATGATATTTTGAACTTCAATAATGAGTAAAGATGTTGAGGACCTTCTTAAGAAAGCACCCAAACTGTTTATCTCATACATTTGATGCTATAGATGACAAAACCACAGGGAGCTGTTGAGACCCCGTGACATGTGCGCTGCTCCTTCTCTGTTTCAGTCTGGATCTCTCACTTCCTCCAGCTGTCTTTTTTTACATTATCATACTCTGCTGTCATTCTGATGATAGTGTGTGCTCTTTAGTGTGTTATCTTTTACTGAGTCACTGATAATGTGTTGTTTCTTGTTGTTTGTTGTTCCATGGCTGCTACACAGATGGTGCGTGAGTCCCGTTTGCTAAAGGACCTAAGTTAAGGTGCTGGATAATCTTCTGGTGTACTAAACAAGCTGGGACTGGGCCTCAGACCGAATGAAGCTGCCCATATTGGGAATTACAGAGGTGCTTGGCATAGTGTACCTGTTGCACAACTCAGCTCTTTATCCTAATGTGTGTGTGTGTGTGTGTGTGGAAAGCCCATTAGCAGTACTCAGGAGACTAGCTGCAGATGGAAGTTTGATGCATCTAAAATCCGTTTCCCTATTCAACATGGACCACGTTTCAAAGAGGTGGCTGAATTTGTTGGTTGGCTTATGAGGATTTTGCTAATGCAATGTGTGATGAGGGCCGTATTTACTTACCTTCTATTCAACAATGTGGATGATCCCTAATGACAGATATGGAGCTTTGGGTGGATTTGTAGACTGCTTGAAAAGGTTGTTTGCATTTAGAGGGTGTGCAAATCCCTTTCTATTTATTTATTTATTTGTTTTTTTTACCCAATATACATCAATCAATTTCCAGTCTGCAAACTTAATTATGAATAATCAATTCATTATTCATTTACAAAAACACTGTCTATATCACTTGTGCTTCTTAAAGGTTTAATGTTTTGGTTCTTTGGTTTAATGGTTTAGTAGTAAAATCAGATCAATTAATGATTAATTTGTTTGTGGCCAGCACAGACAAATAAAAGCTAATAAAGGCTGGGTAAAATAAAACACTGAAAGTACCTACTACAATGGCTCACATGGTGAATGTAGTATAACATATATTTCCTCTGCTCTGACTCCATGCGTACAATAATATAATGCATAATGAATGAATACAGAATAAATAAACTGCATTCCAGTGGAACAACACCATTAACTATGGTCTCAGCAGTAATCACATAAATGATCCAATACATTCCAAACAGTTTCACCAATAACTGAAACATAAACACAAATGTTATGGCAGGGCTCCTATACTGTACAGGTGTACTACTGTAATAAAGTGCTCTGTGAGTGTGTGTATAGATATATGGAAAGTAGAGATGCACCAATTCTGATTTTTGATTGTTTTCTTTCTGAACTGCCAATTCCATTTCACTTTTCTTTTTTTCTAAGAACTAACTGACAGCATACACCAAGATTTTTTTAATGAAAAAATGTATTGTAATAAAAATAAGACATTGTATTAAATTGCTTTTACAAACAAATACCAATAAAAAAGTGTTCCAGGATACAGGATAAACAATTATTTGTTTGTTGGTTACAAACCACCAACTAAAAATGAAGTGCAGTATTTGTAGTTATCCAAAGTTAAACAGGTCCAACAGGTAATAGAGACAGAAAAAATGTCATTCCCACTATAAACGCAGTTCATTTTAAAGTCGGTGTAATTTTTGCCACACATTGGATTTACTGTACATATACATGTATTACAAATGTAGCCAGCAACGCCCTTTTTGTGTACTATGTGTCAGAGTTTTGGACCGTAGCGTCCGCTTCTCCCAGGTATTTCTGTGGATTTGCACGGAATCGGATAGCTCAAGTTAATCATCTGGTCAGCTGTCATGGCCGATCAGGCTAAACACTGACCGATTCTGAACTCCAACAGATTGATTGGTACATCTCTAATGGAAAGATTTTACAAACTGGTCTAGCACTTCAATTTAACTGTGCAAATAAAAGATGATTTCTATATTCTGTATTGATCTAAAATCCCATAATGAAAGTTTAACTTAGTTTTTCCCATGCGTTGAGATAAGAGGTCTGAAATATGCTGAGATTTCAAATTATACAGATTTCTTCAGTCCATTGCAAACACTTAAGAATATGCATGTGTTGGCTTGTTGATTTAGGTTTTTGTACAGGTGTGACAATGGATGTATTAAATGAAGGCCCATGGAGGCTGCATATGTACAAGGCCCCCAGATTTTTGTGGTACACCACTGGCAATGAGGTGTTTTTACAGCCAAAATGGAGTTGGGTACCAGACAGAGACACATTGTGTTGATGTATTATTGCTCCCTTGCTGGATGACTCAGTCCACTACTGCTTATCAGCCACATCAAGAAGGACGTTGCTAGAAAATACCACAAGTCTCTGCAGGTACACACTGCTGCCTGCACACCACCTCCCACATGAAATAGCAAAACCTCAGGTATGGTGGAAGGAAGGACTATTTGATTGGTGTCCCTAGGCCCTGGTTAAAAGTTAGAATTGGACGGCTGAAGTAGAAGGGCAGGTTGTAGTGGTGAACTGCTGCCCTCATTGCCTCATTACCTTGTCCAGTAGAGGGACTGTTTGCTGACTGCTGCGCTGATAGGAGAGGGCAGGGTGGTTCCCATTAGTGCAAGTGTTTTGATGGAACTTTGTACCTTACAGGAAAGAGAATTTAATGCTTTTTCTTCCCCCAGTCTCACTCTCACACACACACAGAGTAGGACGATGATTAAACTATAAGCTAAGTGATAGCACTAAATAAAAGTGCCAGAGCTGAACATGAACTTAATGCAGGTATTATACACAAGACAGGTATCGGTGCATATGTTGCCTGATAAGTACCAATACATTTCAATGCATAAATGTCAAACTTGATCTGGAGCTTTCTCAAAACTAGATGACTCGAGTCAGTCACTCATTTTTAGGGCCATAGATGTGGTTTGGGCACGGCCTTCGGTATCTCCGAGGAGGTCAGGGTGTTTTTTTATCATTGATAGATGTGCACCTATGTTACAAAGGTGACCTCCAGTGGCCATGAATAGGATGAATGGGTCAGAAAACACTGGAGGCTCTCACAGGCCTTCAGTCATGAACTTTTCCTAACCTAACCAAGTTGTTTTAGCGCTTAAACCTAAGAACGTACAGTATCTAAATCAGATATGCTTTGTGTTTATTAGTGAAACCATGATAATGAAGGGCTTTGGCATTATAACAACCTACTACTACTAGTAGGGACCTACTGAGCCTTACCTATGTTCTGATAACAAGTGATAACGTGCCATTGGATGGCATGATAACATCAGAAGTGGGTGCTCAAAACAGTGTCAACATTATGCCCCCTTAGTTTTCACTCTCCACTGTGTGCTGAGGCTGTGAAAACTGTATGAATCATGTGACTGTCACAATAACTGAGTGTTTTTTTTTTTTTTTTACATGCTGTCACTTAAGTTTGGACCATCTGTAAATTCCTTTGCACAGGGACCCCTTTCTTCTTAGTGGGCTTCAAAGTAACTACATCAGTACAGGCATCTATAACAGAGATCTGACCTAAAATCAGCGGGGACGAGGGTAAGGAGAGTCATTTCCCTGTGGTACACTGAGATAGCGATTTAACATTCACGACAGTGGTTAGTAGAGCTCAGCGGCTTTCATGTCACCTCTTTCCTGGATCTGATAAACCTTTTATAAATAATAATGGAAGTGAGAATGTACAATACAGTATGTCTGTGCAGTGAATTGTATGTATGAATAATGTAACCTCAGGCTCTGTCCAACAGAATATTCATCATATTATAAGTGATTAAACATGTTCTCCACAACAGGGCCAACTACTTAAAACACACTCAGTCATTGTAATATACTGGACTGCTTGATCCGCGGTGTGCAGCTTCCTCTCACTCTTCTCCCCCAGCTGCCGCCTGCCAGGGTCTTCTTCTGTACTGGGGGAATTTAGGTGCTTCCTCAGTGCAAGTACAGTAAAACACCTACAGGACTGTAGTTGAAACACAAGTTGTATTTTAAGTTATTTGATGTAAATAATCATGTACTGTATGTGAGGTGCTTTTCTGACTTTGATGTGCATTAAATCATTCAGTCTAAATGTTTGGTCAGGACACACAGCTGTCAAGCCATTTACACCAGTGTCTTATGGAGGTTCTACTGGCATCCAACTTTACCATGTCTTAAAGCCTGAGGTTAGACTTTCAGAAAAAAAAAACCCAATCAGCTTTATTGGCCAGGTCTGTCGGACACACGAGGAGTTTGACTCTGGTACATCGGCTCTCAATGCGCATGTTTGATGCTGTGACCTAATTTATTGCCCCATAAATAATGCTTTACACAGATTACCACAAGAAGCATAATAAAAGTTGTCTTCCTCCCCTACTTCAGCAGATGGAGCACTACATGAGCTTTTCATCTTCGAAGAGTTGTGTTCCCAGAAGGACGACCCAGGGCCTTGCAAGGCCATTAAGGAGAGATTCTTCTTCAATATCAACACGGGAACCTGTGAGCAGTTTGAGTATGGAGGCTGCGGAGGAAACGCCAACAATTTTGAGACTTTGAAAGCATGTGAGGAAACGTGCGTTGTCTCAGGTGAGTCTGACCCTTGGCCTGACGTGGCCACCACCTTGATACTCTGTGACCAAATTTAACTTCACTTAATGTTACAGTGAACACAGACGCCACCATCATTGATACAAGGGAAATGAAATATTTTTTCTAATAATAGGACACCGGACAAGGATATATAGCTGCTTTGCATTGTCATGTTGTTGTTATTAAATCATCAGTTTTATTTTCAAGGACTGTTGTTCCTCATTAGACTTTATCACCACCTTGGGCATACAATTCTATTACAGAGTTATTTTCTTGGTTTGTGGCTGGAATGGAGCACTGCCAGCACATTAATTCTGAACAGTTTTCCTTGCGGCATCTGGTTAATAAAGAAATTGGATTTTTTTTTTTTACTGTAAGAACAACTGTCAGTATTTTATTATTTATAGGTCGCACATAACTCAGCAACTAGATTTCTCAGTTTTCACATCAGAGATGTTGGGTCCTCTCACTAAAGGTGTTTTGTAAGTGTTGTTAAATTGGCCATGATATTGTATAATGTAATGTAAAAATAAAGCAAATGGGCAAATGTGACCATGTATACACAAACATAGGAAATGTATGTGCACATATTGTGCACACACATGCAGTATATACATACAAACATATGTATAGTGTATGTGATCCACATATACTGTATGTGGCTGAACTTTGAGAACGCTGTGGGCACACAGGCACCTTGAGACCTGACAGATCTGTTGGGAATGTATAGCACATTTAAAATGTTAAACGCTAAGGGCTTTTTATACCAGACAGATTTTAAATAATATAGTAACAGCCACAGGTAGTCCACGGGTGGTTCAGATAACTGAAGTAATGTGGTCTGACAATTCTGCATTCTGAAGAAGCTGCAGTCCGTGAGTTGTTTTATATAGAAGGCCTGAAAACAGGGAGTTGCAGTAATCCAGCCTGCTTGTTGGCACAGAAGCTTTTTCATGGAAATACACCATCATGTTTGTCTGATTTACTTGTTCCTTATGTGCAGTCTTGTACCCTGCGTTCTCAGAATTTAGGCCTTTTCCTGCGGTGCCCCAATTCTCTGGAACTCACTACTCCCAGTCAATAGCAGCATGGCAAACTCAACTGGGGCTTTTAAATCTAAGTTTAAGGCGTAGTTACTCTTTAACTGTATGTTAATCTTTAATTAATTTTAAACTGCCTCTCTTATATTTGTCAGTAGGTTTGCTGGTTGTTCGCATTCAAGCTATTATGGTTTGTTAATGTTTGTTGAAGTGTTTTTCTCTCTGGGTTGCTTGTAAAGTGTGCTGAGACACTGTGGTGTGCGTTCACACTTTAAATACATTTTGACTTGACAAATGCCTGCATGAGCCAGGCCGGGACAGAAGATCTCTGATTTTGGAGCCATTTCTTAACTGCTAAAAGGTGACCTTATTGGTCAGTTCTCACTGTGCTTTCAATCTATTCTCTTTTTCTTAATGACCTTGACTCAAAATACTCACAGACCAACTGCCTACAATCTTGAATTAATCACAGCCATAATTTCACTTTTCTCCATGTTCCTTTGTAGGAAGTTTAATTTGAAATTTTATTTCATCCAAGCAGATGATTAGAAAAAAAACCCAACAGTTTTCTTGGGTGCAGAGGACTGTGAGATAAAATGCTGCATAGTAACTAATGTTATGTGTGCTGATAAACCCAAGGAGGAGCAAATCAGGTTGGAATTAGGAGGTCCAAAGATGAACCCCAACGGGACCCTGCAAAGTATTTTATGTCCGATTGAGTGAAAACAACTTGCGTTAGAAACATCCACCCAGTTTTTGTCAATGCGGTTTCATTTTTCCAACCTGCTCTAAGCTTTTTGGCTATACAGTAGTACTTCAGTTTAGTACTTGAGTAAATGTACTTATTTACATTGCACCAGTGCTAATGAAGCAAATGAAACTTACTTTCCATATCCTTTAAGGTGCAGCACAAAGCCATTAACTGAAATTCTGCTATGGTAAGGAGCCGTTATAGTTTTCACACAGTGTATGTTTTCCAACAAAATAATGCTAAGCATTACTTTACAGCTGCCCTGCTCTGGTATATTACTCGACAGGCCTTGTGCACAAAGTTATTAAGATGTGACTGAGCAATTGCTGCTCTGGAAGTGTGTGTATTAAAGGTCCAGTTACTTTGAACAAAAAAAAAAACAGCAACAACAAAGTAGAAAGAACTGTTCTGTTTTAGATCTAAGGTGGGAGGAATCTGCCCACAACAACCTGCGATCACTCTCCACATAAAGGTGGTAATCCCTTAATATGAGGTCTTGTCATCTTGTCATGCAGTTACATAAGATGAGAGGTATCACTGGAACCCAGGATAAAAGCATAGCAATAAATAAACAGGGAGGAGGGCGTCCACATAATGAACACAATACATGCTTTATATTCATTTTCCATTAGTAGTGTGTGCATGTACTATATGTGTTTGCATGGGTCAGTATTTATCTGTGTATTT